ATCCATATTCAATTTACACGATGGCTAGCCTTCTAACTCGTCACTCCCCTTGGTTTCCCCGTCCTCGGTTTCGCTTCCTGAAATGGTGGACAAGGGAAAACTATGAGATAACTCAGTAAGTAAATATGGATAGCCCTTGGGTAAAACTTTTAACATGCCAAATAAACAGTTTCATATAACAAAACGTTTCATTATAAACCGTTAATGCAGAAGAAAATTCAGTTCAGTAGTCTCATCTATAAGTCATGGCCAGCGTTTATAAACCTCCCACTGGCGAGCACAGTAGTTACCAATGTTTAACCCCATTGGCCGGGTTACAGAAGTACCAGTGTTTACAACTCCCATTGGCAGGCGACAGTAATGGTGCCAGTGTTTACAACTCCCACTGGCAGGCGACAGTAATTACCAATGTTTAACCCCATTGACAGGGTGAACCGGTTCTACAGAAATACATGTCGACATGTGCTAGCGTTTATAAACCTCTCACTAGCGGGCACAGTAATCAGTAATCATGACTATATCCGAGACAAAACCATGCAGAGTTTACAGAAAAACCCGAATTTCACAATCAATCTCAAGTTTCAGAAGTAAACCAGAAAATTCCCATGTGAGCATGAATCTAACAGAAAAACTCAGAATTTACAAAACTCTCAGTTCATCAAACATTTCAGTCAATTTCCAATGGGCATGCTCAACTCCAGAAAAACAATGAAATTCTCATTTTCATTTCAATCAAGCTCAATTCCAGAAAAACAATGAAATTCCCATTTTCATTCCAATCATGCTCAATTCCAAAAAAAGTGAAATTCTCGTGAAAATCATCCAAATTCTCATTTCAGTTTAATCACACTCAAATGCTGATAAAATCAATTTAAAATCAATTTAAACCTTGCCACCATCTCAAAAAGAGTTTAAAATATGCTTTAAAATTGAAGGGCTTTACCATAATTTACTTACCTTACTCGCGCATAACAGAAGGCTAACCCAAGTGCTACGGTGATAGAACGATCAAAACCTAATCACAATATTCCAAGAATTAATATCGCACCACCACAAATTCACAGTAAAATCATCTTTAGCACTACCCCTAATCACAGTGCTATTTCTATCAATCTCCACATAATCGGACATCTCCAAACTTATCCTTATATCACAAACTAATCATTTAAATCCCCGTTAATCGTTGACCCTCGGTGTGTAAACAGTACCCCGTGAACAGCAACTTCAACTCCCAAAATTGGCAAAACAGTGGCTAAAACACACGGGATTTTCTCCAAAATCACAACAACCCAATTCAAGCTAATTTCCTACTTAAACCACACTTAAAACATAGCTTAAAGCTACCAAAATTTCCCCAATCTCACGGGCAGCACATGGAGGGCATGACTTTGGCAAATCACAACTCACACACACGGTATTTCTCACACAAAACATCACAGCAATCAATTAGCACTCAATCACCTAATTTTCACTTGAATTAATGCTTAAATTTTGTCCTAAAGCTACCGGAATTCCTCCCCATTTCCAGCACAATTCGGACACACACAAGGCAGCAATTAAATGGCTAGTTTAGGGCTTAAAGAAGTGGCCATCATACCAGAATTTTCCAGCAAGAACCGGAGCTAGCAGGGGAAGAAGAAGCCGGCGGCAAGCTGCAGGGAACTCACGGACTACCCAAAAAAAATTGAGGGAAATAAACAGAAATTAGCATAACCCAGCCTAAATCAAGGTTAAAGAGATGATTTCTTGGCTGTGGCTTACCCGAAAAATGCCCAGAAATTCAAACCCACAGCAACCGGCGGACAAGGAAGAAGCGCAGAGCAGAACCGGGATTTTCTGGGTGGAGGGGGAAGATTCTAAGCCCCAAATCTTGTGATTTAACAAGAAAGGAAGAGAAATTCATCAAGATCTCACCGGGTTTTTCAAGGGGGAAGAAAGTCGGTGGCTTGGGGGGCTTCGGTCGGCAGAGGAGAAGAAGAAGAGCAAGTCGCACGGATAAGGAAGAAGAAAGAGAAAAAGGAAGGCAGCTGATCCTTATCCTAATTTCATTTCTTTTTAGTCCCTCAGCTTTTAAAAATTTTACGATTAAGCCCCAAAACAATATTTTCCCTCAAATAAGTCCCTTAATGCTAAAATATCCCCAAATTTTGGGATATTACAGTATAGAACTTTCTTAAAAATTTACACTTTTATTATTTTATTCAATTCACATTTTATAAAATTTAAATAACAAAATTTTGAATTAATTAAAAATTACAAAGGAAAAAAAAGAAAGGCCTTTGATCGAATGGCATAGGCTGCTGGATCAAAGGATTGCAAAGTCCGGCGCTGTAGCAAGATCGAACATTTTTTTGGGTTAAAAAATAAAAACCCAACATGTTGCATGCTAAGAACGTTTCTCATTTTAGAACTCTTCTCTAATGGACCAAAACTCTGTCTTTGTCCTATTTTAGGAAAAGAAGAAGCAAATAGAGCACCATTGTACATGCACTAATAAAAGCTAGCTAAAAGGGATCATACCTTTTCCAGAGAGAAAAGTGGGAGTTCAACAGCGGATTCAGCTTGGTCCGGCTTGTTTGTTATCTCCGTTTCACCACAATGATAAGAGTAGAACTTCTCTAATGCTGGCCAACTTTTCTTGTGTTTCCCTGGGTAGAAACATCTAAGTCCTGGCAGGGAGTGAAGTATAAGGCAGGATAAGGAATCAAACTCAAAGTTGACTTCTTCTTTGACCGCTGATTTCCTGGCAACAATTTCCTCCAGACTAGTGCAGGATTGTATTTTCAGCCTTTTAAGTTTGAAAAGGCTTTTGGCCAAAGAAAATGGAAACAGATGGTTGAGACTCTCACATCTGGAAACTGTCACTGATTCCAAGTTCTGAAAAGTGTCAATTTCTTGGAGATCCTTATTCCATACATGCTTTAATCTTGGTAGCTGATCAATGTACAATTCTTTAAATTGATAGTTTTCAGCATCTGATTCTGTTATTTGAGCATCTGATGCTGTGATCTCTGACTGTTGTCCAAGTTCAAACACCTCTTCTACTGAGCTGCAACCAATTATTTCTAACTTCTCGAGGGACTTCAAGAGTTTTCTCAGCAAGTCATTGTTAGATGGAAAAATGAATGATAGATTCTGACAATATGTAACTCTCAATGATTTTAAGTTGCAAAAGGAATTTTCCCCAAGTTTTTTCCATATCATCATCGAGTTGTTAAAGTGAGAGATACTCAACCGTTCCAATTTAGGAAATGCAATCTGCATTGTTCATTGAAGAGAAATGATTAGTTCTCAAATCCCAAAAATTAAATTCAAAATGCAAGTAAGATAAAGAAAACTAACCTTCTCATCAAAGAGGGCTTCTTTCATAGATTCTGATTTCACGAATCCATTCAGCTTTGGGCATTTCTCTATAGTCAACTGCTTCAAGTATGAGAACTCAGTACAATAATCTTCGGAGCAGAGTGCGATCAGGTTCTGAAGGTCTTCTATGCTCAGGAAGTTTAATCTTTCAAAGGAATTTTCCTTCTTAGGGAATTTGCGCCATAGGATCTTCAAGTTTTTCAAGAGGGAGATAGTCATCCTTTCCAAATTAGGAAATGCAACCTGCATTGTTCATTGAATAGCAATGAAA